TGTGTGGCAGGGGGGGGGGTCCTGGCGTGTGCACACTACATGGGGGGGGCAAGCGGAGCTAAAGGATGCACGTATTTTTAGGCTCTGAAGGCAGCCCTGAAATATGTCCACCCTCTCAGGAGCAGGCTGGGTGAATGTTTTGGAGACTGGTTCCAGCAGAGGCGGGATGGGCGGGCATGAGTCATGCCTAGTGGCCACAGGAGGAGGCTGAGCCTAAGGATGAGGCTTGTCAGGTGGGTGAGATCTCACTTGGGTGCAGGCTCCAGGGCCCAGTGGGGTCATATTATTATTATTTAAATGCTGGGTGTGGTGGCTCATGCTTTTAATCCCAGAACTGGGGAGGCCAAGGCAGGGGGATCTGTGAATTCAAGGCCAGCCTGGTCTACATAGTGAGTTCCAGGCCAGCTGGGGCTACAGGGTGACCCTGTCTCAAAAAGACCAAAAAAAAACAAAAAACAAAAAACAAACCAAAAATCTCCCCAGCATTGCACAGATGCCGGACAGAGCTCAGGGCACTACTGTGAGGTGCCTGGCACTTTATAACCCATCAAGATAACTGCACCTCTACCTCACAGGTCAATAAACATTTATGGCTGGCATGGTATACAGCAAGTACTTGGTAAATATATTAATGATGTGGTGATCACCCTATAAGTGCTTAAACAATGTGATCCTAGCACACAGCAAGTGCTCAATTAAGTGCACAGTATGGCAATCAACCTAGGGGCAATGTGCTATACAGCAGGTGCTCAAAAAATGCACAGTGCAGGTGAGCCACCGACATGATATCCAGCAAGTATCCAACAAATTCATGGCACAGTGGCAGCCCTAGGACCAGCATGGTATACAGAAAATGCTCAATACATGTATGCTGTGGGTGACATATCAGCCTAGTACACAGCAAAAGCCCATTAAATGCATGGCAGGGTGATCATCCTTGTGACTAACATGGCATATAGCAACTGGTCAATAAGTGTATGGTGTGTCCATCTTCCTATGGTCAGCCTGGTATACAACAAGTGCTCAATAAGTGCATAGAACTGGGGCTGGAGGGATGGCTCAGCAATTAAGAGCACTGGCTACTCTTGTAGAGAACCCAGGTTCGGTTCCCAGTGCCCACATGGCTGCTATCAGTTGTCTGTAACTCATTCCAGGGGATCCCACACCCTCTTCTGATCTTCACAGGCACTGAAGGACATGGGTTCCCTTACATACATGCAGGCAATACACTCATACACATAAAAATAATGTTTTGTTGGGTTTTGTTGTTGTTTTTGGTCTTTTTGAGACAGAGTCTCCAGGTTGGCCTGGAACTCACAGAGATTTGCCTACATCTGCCTCTCAAGTGCTGGAACGAAGGCCCGATTTTTGGTTTGTTTTAGGATGCTGGGAAGACAACCCTTATCAATGGAAAGTGCAGGGCTCTGCCTAGGCAGAGGAGCCCAGAGGAAAGGATTTTTTGGCCTGCACTCATCTCAGACAGTAAGCAGCTGAGCCCGGAGGGCACTGGCTTCTTCAAGTGCAAGGAGGCAAGGGGGCTGGGGGTCTGTGTGATCCAGGGTGGGTCACTCACTGTACTGGGGCCTTGGGAATTACCTGACAGGTAAGCTAGATCATGGTCACCCAGAGGCCCCAGGGTCTTCATCTCAGTATCTGAGATCCAGGGAGGTGTAGGGCTGAAACTAGCCACAGGCTGAGCAGGAGGCTGGGACCACAGTCAGACAGACCCACCCCCACCCTGGGTCTCTGTCTGTGACAAGGGATGGAGGAGGTGCTGTAGGGTTCTGGTCAGGAGACAGCAAGCTCATGTGCTCGCTCCACTCCTCTGTCTCCCACCCTAGGACTTGGTTTGACTCCAACAGGCCCCCAGTGAGGCCCGCCTTCCTCCCCAGCCTCCTCCAACCTGGGCTGAGCCCCAGCACTGCCTCCTCATCTGTTCTGGAATTCTCAAGCGCTTCATGTCACACCCATGGTACCCCTCCTTTTCAGCCCCAGCCCTCTAGCTCTTCAGTGGCCACAAGGCCTTTGCACTAGCCTAGAACTCTTGACTCCCCAGGTGGATGGCTTTGGGTGCATCCCAGCCTCTCCATCCTCTGGTACTAGGGGTTGAACCCAGGGCTTTGTTCCTACTGGGTAAGCCCTCTACCATACATTATACCACACATGTGGAGGTCAGAGGACAGCCTGTGGGAATCGGTTTTCTCTTTCTCAGGTAGTCAGGCTTGGCTGCAAGCCCCTTTACCTACTAAACCATCTCACCATCCCTTCTCCAATCTTGAATGTTACCCTGTCCCATTCCCTGGGTACTTCTTTATTTTTTTAATTTTATGTGTGTGTATTACCTGCATGTAAGTAAGTGCACCTGTGTCGTGCAATGCCCACAGAAGACAGAAGAGGTGGTCGGATCCCCTGGGACTGGAGTTACAGACAGCCGTTAGCTGCCATGTGGGTGCTGGGATTCGAACCCGGGTCTTCTGCAAGAACAACCAGTGTTCTTTGGTTGGTAACATCTTGTTCTTTCTCCTCCCTTGTTGTTGCCCCTGGGGCAGAAAGCAGGCTACAGGGGCTCAGCCCTGTTAGTGGCTGGGTCTTCAATGCCTGGCCAGCCTTGGGACCACTGTGGAGTATGCTTGGGTCCACAGGGCAGGGTGACCAGATATCCAGGAACTCCTGCTCAAGAGCTGCTGCTTATTGGCCTGGGGTAGGGCCCCATGAGGCCAGGAGGGTGATAGGGACGAGGCCAGTCCTGTCATGGAAGGCAGCTGCTCTGCTGTGGCCCCTGGACCCGGGTGAGTCACCCTGTAGTGTGGGCCCAACAGCAGGATCAGGCGTCCTGGGTGGAGGGACCGCCCACAGGAGAATAGCTGGGGTCAGGTGATGGGTGTGGACTGGCCCAGCAGGCCTGGTGCAGACAGAAAGATCTGGAAAGAGTGCTTCAGGAACTAGCTCTGGCCTTTGGTTTCCCTCCTCCCCATGGAGGGGCCAAGGCTGGGGTTCCTGGAACTGACTGGGAAGAACACCCAAACCATACTCAGCCAAGAAGCTTCTAGAGGCCACTGCACCTAAGTGTGGGTGTTATGACCCAGAAGGCAGGGGTGGCTGTCCGGTGAGGGGAGGATGAAGGCAGGATTGCTGAGGGATGTGCAGAAGAACCCAGGGTGCAGTCCTCATTGGGTAGGAGGCCCTGGATGATCAGCTGAGACTGCCTTGGGCAAGGGACAAAAAATGGGAACCGAGATGGGGGGCAGGGCAGACCTCAGGGACACCTGGCCAGGGAGAAACATCTTGCTTCATTTAGTCACAGGGTCTCACTTTGTAGCCCAGGCTGGCCCTGAACTCCCAGAAATCTTCCTGCCTTTCCCCAATTCCCAGGGCTGGGATGACAGACAGGTGACACACCAGGCCAGGTTAACAGATCTGAAAGGTAGGGACCAGTGAGGCTAGAACAGAGCCTACGGGCTCCCATCCCCCAGAGGTCTCAAGACGGTCTTCTGCCGCAGCAGCCCCACCGGCACCGGCACAGGCTCTTGGGGGTACACAGGGAAGGGGCGGCAAATGCTGGCATTTCCTGGGGTGACTGTGCGGAAGACAGCACCCAGACCAGGCTACAATCCCACAACCACCCTTCAGCCTAGTGTTCAAACTCCAGCTGTGAAGACAGCCCCAAATGGCCCACTGCCAGGACACCATTTGTTAAAAATACATTTGTGGGCCAGGCGTGGTGGCGCTCGCCTTTAATCTCAGGACTCGGGAGGCAGAGGCAGGCGGATCTCTGTGAGTTTGAGGCCAGCCTGGTCTCCATGGTGTATCCAGGACAGCTGGGGCTACAGGGAGACCCTGTCTCAAAAAGACCAAATAACAAACAAAAAACAAAAAAACATTTGTGTCATGTATGCACGCACACCTGTGCTGTGGCATGCTTGTAGTCAGAGGACAACTTGTGGAAGTTGGTTCTGGGTATTGAACTCAAGTTGTCAGATTTAGTAGCAAGCACCTTTATCTGTTGAGTCCTCTTGCCAGCCCCTTTTTGTTTTTTTCCAAGATTTTTTTTGGGGGGGGGTCTTTTTGAGACAGGGTCTCTGTAGCCCCTGCTGTCCTGTAACTCACTATGTAGAACAGGCTGGCCTCAACCTCACAGAGATCCGCCTGCCTCTGCCTCCCAAGTGCTGGGATTAAAGGTGTGCACTACCACAGCCGGCTTCAAGATGTTTTTGAAAAAAGATTTGTTTATGTGTATGTGGTGTTTCTGTATATAGTGTGGATGACTGCAGAGATAGAACAGAGTATCTGATTCCCTGGAGCTGGAGTTACAGGCAGTTGTGAGCTGACCTGTGCATGCTGGGAACCAGACTCTTGTCTTTTGTGAAAGCTCTAATTGCTAGGCATCTCTCCAACCCCACTTTGTTTTTCTTTTTTGTTTCGTTTTGTTTTTGAGACAAGGTCTCATAGCCCAGGCTGGCCTTGAACTTTTTTTTCTGCTACAAGGTCTCACTATGTGGCCCTGGCTAGAATGGAACTTGCTACGTAGACCAGGCTGGCCTTGAACTCAGAGATCTACCTGCCTCTGCCTCTGGAGTGCTGGGATTAAGGCTGTGAGCCACCACACCTGGCCTTGAACTTTAAAAAAAAAAAATCTATTGGTGTGCTGTGGAGCACACATGGAGGTTGAAGGATAGCCCACTGGGACAGTTCTCTCCTACCTTTACATGCATTCTGACTAAAGTCAGGTCTCAGGCCTGAACAGCTTTACCAGGTAAGCCAGGTCCCCAGTTCTGGCCCTGACTCTGGGATTATGGCCCCAACTTTTTCTCAGTTTTTGAACAAGGTCTTGATCCTCCTGCCTCAGAATGTTAAAGGTATGTTTGGGGCTCTGTGTGCACTGCTGCATCTGCCAGCAGGACGGGGTCAGAGGATGAGAAGCCTGTGGAACAGCCCCCATGAGCCAGGTGCATGGGCCAGACAGGCAGAGCCCTGGCAGGGAACAGAGGTGGTTCGAAGCAGTCTGTGGTACCTGCCTTTATTTTCCTCACAGAGCAGGGCCTGGGCAGGGCACAGAGTCCAACACACCAGAGCCTCCTGGGCTCCCATGTGAAACACAAAACAGCACCTCAGGGCCACCAACCCTTCACAGGACAGCTGGAGCTTCACAGCTGGCGCCCAAGTGCAGAACCTTCCAGAAACTGAGTCATGGCCTGTTGCAGACTTCACCAAACCACTACCCGTTGGGGCTTCACCCTGTGGCGGCCCTGGCTTGGGCTGATACACCCTCACTGCTTGCCTGCCTGCCGGCCTGGCTTCTTCTCTGGCTGACCTCGGCCTGCACCTGGTATCCCACCTCGGCCACGGCCACCAAACACACCTGCAGAGGAAGGGGGAATGAAGGGAAAAGAAAAGGGGGGGGGGGCAGGAGAAAGAGGAGGGAGAGGAAAATGACAAGCTGGCTGACACCCAGACACCTGCGGCCAAGGGCAGGGCCAGGCAGAGGACAGGGACACAGGACGGAGGATACAACAGGGCTGGGGCCTAGGGCCTGGCAGAGGACAGGGAGCACCCCTTGTTTGGCCTCTACCACTATACAGGAACCATGGAAGGCCCCCTCCGGCACCCACAGTTCCAGCAGGCTTCGGAAGACACTGAACCCCAGACTGGATCTGCCTGGTCTCCAGCCAGGGAGCCTATTCCATCTGCAAGACCCCAAGTCCCATGCCCACAACAGAGGGGACAGAGTAGAGCTGGGGATGACAGTGCCAAGCCCCACCCCTCCCGGGGTTCCTGGGTCCCACCTCTGCCAGCACCGCCCATGCCACGGCCCTTCTGCTGTTTCTGCTGCTGTGGGCCACCGCGCCCTCGGCCCTTGGCAGCTGCCTCTTCCCGCACCATGTCGATGATCTCGTCTGGGATGCGTAGGTACTTGATTGTACTGCCTCGGATGTAGCATTCAGGCATACGCCAGAACTTGTCCCCATCCTGCCCAGGGAGGGGGACGTTAGCATAGCGCCCTCCCTCCCCACTCCTCCCTCCCCCCTCTGCCTCGCACTCACCCGGGACGTGCAGATGACCTCTCGCAGGTTGATGTTCATCCAGTTGTCACAGCTCACCAGGTGCCCATTGTAGGTCTCCCCATTCTTCAGCTCCACCAGCTGGGGGACACCAGTGAGGACCATCAGCAAGAACTGGGCTCATATCACCATGGGCCACACCACGTGGCACCTCTCACAGGACACAGACATGTCATAGCCATGTTCAGATTTTTAGAACCAGAACCACAGCTTATTGTACAACTACAAAAACCTTTGAGAGGCTACAGTGTGGTAGACCTGTGCAGAGCAGGCAGGTTCCCAGGTTCTGACCCCACACCACGACCTTTGAGGATGGCAAGTTAGCAGTCAATCTGGGCTAACAGCTAGACATGTCTTGAAGACACCAAGTACTGGGCCATCAAGATGGCTGAGCAGGGAAAGCCTGACTACAGGAGTTCAGTTCCAGAATGTACCTGGCAGGAAAGAACCGAATCCGACAAGTTGTCCTCTGATTTCATGTGCACTTGCTGTCTGTGGCACATGTGCACCCCCCAACAATAAACAAATGTGATAATAATAATAACAATAAAGGACTGAGGGTTGGGCTGGGTGCATGTGAGAAGGCCCTGGGTTCCAGCCCAGCACCAACAGGAAAAGGAAGCAGCCTTGGCATGTTCCCAGAAGAAAGAGAGGCAGCAGGCAAGCCTGACATTGTCATCTAATCGGGGAATATTACCCATCCATGAAAAATGGATGAACCCCCCAAATATGCTGAGTGACAAAAAAAGACCACATGTTCCAACTCATAAAAACGTCCAGAAGATGCAAAGTCAGGCATGAAAGTAGAGGTGACAAGGGCTGGAGGGAGAACTGGGGGTGGGTGCTGATAGGCATGGAGTCTCCTTCAGAGGCACTAAGAATGTTCTGGAATGAGACAGGTAGGGCTGCTGCTGTGTCACTGGGTGGTGTTTTGATTTGTGGTATGGACCCCGCCTTAAGTGTACTGGGCTGCTCCAGGCCCTACCATCTTTTGATTTTCAGACAAACTCTTCCTAAGTGCCCATAATAGCCCTTAACATGTGGCAATTCCCCTGCCTCAGCCTCCAGGGTGGCTAGATGAGAGTACAGCACCATGTCGGTTATACTGTGTGACACAGGGATGGAACCCAGGCCTCCCTGTATAACAGGCTGGCTCTCTGCCAACAGAACCCCACCCTAGCCTCTGCCTCAAGTTTTTCTTCTCAGTTAATCTTTTTGACGTTTTACAGGGATTTATTTTCGGGGGTGGGGGTGGGGGGTGGTCTTTCTGTGACAGGGTCTCCCTGTAGCCACAGCTGACCTGGAACTCCCTATGTAGACCAGGCTGGCCTTGAACTCAGAGATCTGCCTGCCTCTGTCTCGCAGATGTGTACAACCAAGCCCAGTCGTTTTACACTATTAAAAATTACATTTATCATTGTGTGAGTGTGTGTATGCATGTGTGTGAAGGTCACAGGACAATATGCAGGAGTGGCTTCGAGGGATCAAATATAAATTCCCAAACAAGCACCTTCACCCACTGAGCCATTTCGCCAGCCCTTCTAGTGAGTATTACTGTTTTTAAGTTTGGGATGGACAGATGGGGAGTGGGCATACCAAGAGGTGGCAAGTAAGTAATGTGGACACATGGAGGCACAGGCACAGGAGGAAGCAGTCCTTGGGGCTGCCCTACTCACCATGGGGTGGTTCTGTGCCGTCTTCAGCAGCGACAAGGGCAGCTGGAAAGTAAGGAGAGATGCTAAGTGTCCATGGTCCACTGTCCCCCATGCCCAGCCACCCTAGCCCTTGCATGCTTCCATATCAGGGAAAGCTGTGTCCCCGCCAGCAGGTGACAGTCACCCAGGCCATTCGGGTCATTTCTCTACAGCTCACGCTCCCCACACCTACACCTGGCAGACCTGGCAGAGTTCCTCTGGAGGTCTTTCATTTGGCTGGTTTTCTGAGATAAGGTCTTGACATGTAGCCCAGGCTGGCCTTGAACTCATGGCAATCCTCCTGTCTCAGCCTTCCAAATTTGGGGCTATACTAGAGGCACAGTGTCTGTGTGGGTGGCAATGGGGTAAAGCCTGTGTCCCGTTCAGCCTGGGCCAGACCAGTATTTGAGACACTGGGAAATGCTCTGCCAGTTCATCTTGGAAACACAGAAAATTAGCAGCCCTGGGGAGAGCCACTGAGCCTTCAGAGATAGAGACTAGGGCAGCCTGGGTCCTGGGTAGCAAGCCAGGAGAGGGCAGGACTTGGTGACAGAGCAGCCGCCTGGCGGGGTGACACCTGCTTTCCATAGCCAGCACCACAACAGCAAAGAAGGTACCTGGTGTTGGCAGAAGACAGGGTACCCTGGGCCATTGGAGCTGTAGCCCAGTGGGTAAAGCCGTTTTCCAGAATGTACTAGGAGCTGGGCTCCACCACCACATTAACCAGGTATGTGGCCCACTTGTCACCCCAGCACTCCAAAGAATGACACAGGAGGATCAGGAGTTCAGGGTCATCTTCAACTACATAGGGAATTTGAGGCCAACCTGGGCTACAAGAGACCCTGTCTTAGAAAAAACAAAAATTAATGTCCCAGAGGCTGCCACACCAGGCCTGGAGACTTTCAGTCTCCTCAAGGCTTTGGCAAGAGGCCAGCGTGGGCACCTGTGGAAGTAAGGGACCCTCGTGAGACTGATAGCTGTGATGAGAGGACTGGGGGACCCTGCAGCCCATTGCCCTTCCTGAGCAGAGCTGGGGAGGCTGTGGGGCAGGAAGCCCAGCAGAGCCTACTTCCTGTGGTGGCTTCCTGGAAGGGCAGGAGGCCCAGCCTAGTACTGAGCGGTGGGGTGGATGGCCTTGGTGACACCTTCTAGGCTGATCCTGAGCTGCCTGCAAACTGGGCAGGGCTGGCCTTGGGGCTTGAGCCAGGAGATGAAGAGAAAGAAGGCCAGGTAGCCGGAGGGAAAGACTCACAGAACAGGCCCAGCCTGCCACCAGCCACGTGTCACCTAGAGTAAACACGTCGGGATGGTCCATCCTGAGCAGTAGATGGTCCCAGCCAACAAGACAGCCCAGTGCTTCCTCAACTGACATCCACAACGTATGGGGTGAACTCAGCACTGGGGAGGCTGAGGCAGGAGGGTCACTGTTGAGTCTGATGCTAGCTTGGGATACTGAGTGATATCCTGTTTCAAAAACAAACTAAAAAAGGAAGCCAGGCATGGTGGCCCTCACCTGTCCTCCAGCCCTGGAGAAGTGGAGGTGGGAGCAGGAGTTCAAGGTCATCTTTGGCTAAGTAGGAAGTCCAAAGCTAGCCTCGGCTACATGAGACCATCTCAATTAAACAAATCTCAGAACCCCCAAAGAACAAGGGGGGCCCTTGGGGCTCAGTGGCCAACACCCCAACAACAAAAATCCAATGGAATGTGGGGCATATCTGGACCCTTGTCCCTCCCACCAGGGCCCAGCCACCACCTGGGTACTCTATAAGACCCAGACCTTCCCCAACTGCTGAGGGGAACCACACCTGCCAGACCAGGCCCCTAATGGCCACCCTGGGCCGCCAGCCTGTTTCTACCACAGGCAAGGCTGCTCTGTAATTACAGGTGATTAGCACCCATCACCCTGGCTAGACAGGAGATCAGCAAGGGCGTGGGCTCTGCCAAGGTTGGAGAGGGACATATGCAAACACCTTAACACACCCAGGAGAGAACAGCGCCACCCAGGGCAGCACAGGTGCATCCTGCCTGGCCCCATGAATGGCAAAAGGTAGTCTGGGTGGGGAGGAGCCATAGGGACAGGGAGCCACCGACTTCCATGCCATAGCCCTGTAAGCCTGTGATGGGTGCTGTGACCTGGGTGTGGCCTCTGTCCTCATGTCCAAACCCAGCAGTGTACAAACAAGAGACAAATAAAATCCCAAGGGAAGCAGGGACAGGGCTGGCTAATGCTGGAGCTACAGGCTTTCCAGAAGGATCTGGGCAGAACCCACAGCTGCAAAGGTTTCAGGAAAAATTCTGTCTCCTCCTTCCCCGGCCACTCAGGCCCCGAAAACATAGGACCCTCCACAGTGGCTCTGCACTCAGGAAGGCCAAGGGCTCCCCAACCTGGCTGTCCAGTCTTGCTCTGCCAACCACAACCACGCCTATAGAAAGGCCCAGAAAGCCAAGGGATGCAGATGCTCCCTGCTGGGAAGAGACTGAAGGATGTGTCTTGGGTCTGCAACTTCAGACACAGCAAATAAATTGAGCATAAAAACACATTTCTGGGGCTGGAGAGTAGGCTCAGAGTTAAGAGAAGACTGGCTTCAGGGCTGGAGAGATGGCTCAGGGGTTAAGAGCAATGGCTGCTCTTGCAGAGGAACTGGGTATGGTCCCCAGCACCCACATATGTGGTGGCTAACAACAGTCCCTAACTCCAGGTCCAGGGAATCCGACACCCTCTTCGAACTTCCACCGGCATTGCACAGTACAGGTTCACTTACACACATGCAGGCAATACACTCATACACATAAAATAAAAATAAAATTTTTTTTTTAAAAAAAGACTGGCTGTTCTTGCAGAGGATCCAGTTTCAATTCCCAGCACCCACATGGAGGCTAACAACCATCCCTAACTCCAGTTCCGGGGGATCGGAGGCCCTTGTCTGGCCTCTGTAGGTGTTGTATGACACAGGTGCACTTACATACATGCGGGCAATACACTCATACACATAAAATAAAAATGGGATGCAACGGGGTTAGTAGACTGCCCGCCTAGTATACACCAAGCCCTGAGTTCCACCCCAGCACCCCATCAACTGGGCATGGTGGCGCACACCTCACCCCAGTACTCTGGGAGTAGAGGCAGCATGGATCAGTTAAGGGTTATCCTAGGCTACACAGAGTTCAAAGTGGACTAAAAGACTGTCTCAAAAAAAAAAAATATCCATCCTAGGCCAGGTGGTGTTGCCTGATTATCTCTACAGCTCAGAGGCTGAGGCAGGAGGATCAGTTTGTGGCCAGCCTGGCTACATGGTGAGATATCTCAAAACACCAAACCAATAACCAAACCGAATATCCCGCTGTCAAGAACTTAGACGGGCATTGAGGGGCGGCTGTCTAGGCCATCTTGTCACTCAGCTGCGGAATTCCCACGACTGGAGTCTGGGCCATTCTAGAAATAGGAAGTCGTTCCTTCCCTGCGGGCAGCTAAGTGTCTCCAGGAGAAGCAGCCAACCCCTCCGGGCCGCACCTCCCGCAAAACGCCTGCGCACTAAGGTCCTCCAGCCCAGCACTCAAGGGCCACAAACCGCCCACGTGAACCCTCAGCTAAGCCCCACTTCCCGGAAGTGCAGCTTTCTGATCTATGACGTCACCACCGGCAGGAAGTACTCAGATTCCCTCTTCCGGCCGCAAAAAACGTGTCCATACAGAGCTAAATCCCCAACGGCAACCGGTTGGAACGGAAGAGGTACCAGCCACTCCCGGCCTCAGTTTCCTGGCTGGGCCCAGCATGCGCAGCCTCCGGAGACCCGACGTCGCCGCGTCCCCGCCGCCCGCGCCCCACACTGCCCCGGCCCTCACCATCTTCCCGGCGGACGCACTTCCGCCGCCACACAACCGCTCGCGCTCCGCCCCGGCGCGCGCCACTAGCCTGAAAAAGACTGTCAGGGGGCAGCCAATCAGCAAGGAGCTCGAGGGACGCTTGCCCAATCAGCGTGGGGTAGGGCGAAGCATGCGCCACGAGCTGAGCGGGCCGGGCCGTACCACCGTCGGAATCAGGGCTACAGCCGTAAAGTGCCGTTGAGTGGCGCAAAAGGTCGCAACGCACCACACACCGATTCGGTATGGACGCTGAGAAACGGCGCACGTGCAGACACGTCCCGGTCTCTGGTGGCGCTCCACACCTGAGGCGAAGCTGGTTAACGTCTGTGACGCGCCAACCGCCGCGGAAAGCGAGGCTGCGGGATTGTAGGACCTGTCGTCGGACTCCAGGCCTTCCATTACTCTCATCACTCTCTCTAAATAAAAAAACGTTCCCTGAACTCAGAAAAACCGTGTGGTCTAGTTTAGCTGCAGCGCGAGGTGCACTGTGCAGGCGCAGAGAACAGAACACTTAGAAATCGCCGTTTCTGGAATTTTCCACTTAACATAGGCATTTTAGTGTTTGAGACAGGGTCTCATGCAGCCCAGACTGAACTTGAACTCACCAGGTTCCTGGAGCTAGTCATGAACTTGCAGCAATCCCCCTGCCTCAGCTTCAAGATTTCTGAGATGACGGGTGTCCGTCTTCATGCCCAGCTCCATGTTTATTCTTGCTCATCATTATGGCGACAGGGCCTCTCACTGAACCTGGAGCTCATCAGTTGGCAACACTGGCTAGCTCCCAAGGTCCCCAGGATCTTCCTGCCCCTCAGTGGTGAGGTGCACACCGCCATGCTAGTGTTTTTTGATGTGGGTTCTGTGGATCCGTGTTCAGGTATCTTGCTTGTGCGGGAAGCACTGTACCCACTGAGCTATCTCCCAGGCTCTTATTTATTCCTTTATTTAATCTTGGCCTGGTGGGGATGGAGTCGGGCCAGCCGTGTGCTTCATTCACCCTTCTACCCTCAGCTGACCCAGGTGACTCGCCTGTGCCGTGCCGTGCCCCGTGCGGAGCCTCAGGCACCCGAGGCACTCCCTTTCTGTCCAGCCAGGGCGCTGATTGGTGAGGTGAAACACCCACACCCTGAACTGCAGTTCATGGTGGAGGGGGACAGTTTGGGACCCTGAACTTCACCCCTGGCACCACCAAAATAAATCAGTAAATACTTAGTGAAGAAGAGGACTGTGTCTATCTTCTGAGCAGAGGTCCAGAGACTACGGTCAGCCAGGGTTGATGCCTTAAATAAGAAAACAGAAATCAGGCAAGCAGCACATCCTTCCAGCCTCAGGGCCTCGACTACCGGCGAGATGTCTTAGGTTGGTGTTTCCGATGCATTCCGGAATCCAGCTCTGAGATGGGGACTTAAGGACACGTGATGGCTCTTGTTGGGGTGAGCATGTGAGACACCCCAGGGAAGAGCACTGCACTGGCGACGTGGGAGCCTTGCCCCTCAACAGCAAGATGGGAAACTTCAGCGTTGATGTCAGCATTTATGGGTGCGAGTTCAAGCCCCACCTCACTGCGTGAGCAGGAGACCCTTTAAGATGCTGGTGGGAGCTCACCTGGGTGACAGACAGGGACCCAGGGACCAGGACAAACCTTCCTGTTAGCTGACGGCATACTGGCCTGATAGATTCAGAGGACAGAGGGTCCATTCGATGCCCCGCGTCCGTGTGGCGGAGAAAGTAGAAAGTCGCATGCTGCGCCATCCTTGTGTAATTTTTCTAGACTTTTCTGTGAACCCTCTTTCTTTTGCCGGTTAAGGAAAAAAAATCTTATTCAAGCTTGAAACCTCTACTGGGGTGCCCCCGTGTGGCGGAATTCAGTCACTTTATGTTTGCTTAGATAATCTTTTCCTTTATTTTCTTGACTTTGCAATGCTGGGGAAGGAAGTCACACCCCTCAGCCGCTCACCAAAGGGTTCTCGGCTGTCACTCTACTTCTCCTGAGCCATATCCGATCTCCTTACTGGGGCATTCTAGGCAGGGGCTCTACCCAAGTCCTGTGGCCCTAAGAGAGTCTGAAGGTTATGTTGGTGGGTTCAGTACACAGGCGATGAGAAACATGAGGAGTGGCAGGATCCAGGGAGAGGAGACCATGACTGCAGTGGAGAAATAGCCCTGCTCATCCCTGGCTCCCTGCATCCCAGCCAGCTTTGTAATGAAGGCCTGACTGGCCAGGCCAAAGGACCTGTGTGCCTAGTGACCCAAAGGAGAATTCACCAGTCTCAACAAAGGCTGTATCACCTCCTGGTGCCTACACCTCCTGGTCAAGATGGCCTGGAATAGCCTTCACAACTGGATGTGAAGCCATAGTGTGGAGACCCTGTGGCACTGACATTCACGTGTGGGCTGTGCTGAAGAGATCAGGAAGCCAGGAGTGGTGGAGCAGGTGTCCTACAGTGTGGTGTCTTCCATGTTCTAAGGGACAGGCTCCAACCTCCAAGTGTATTAAGCAATAAAGAACAGGGTCTGGGCTGGTGAGAGGGCTTTGTGGGTAAACGTCTGCTGCCAAGCCTGATGACATGAGTTTCGTTACCAGGACCTACATGGTAGAAGGAGAGACATGACTCTTGCAAGTTGTTCTCTGACCTCTATATGTGTGCTGTCACACACACAAAATAAAATGTAAGCCAGGCATGGTGGCGCACGCCATTAATCCCAGCACTTAGGAGGCAGAGGCAGGCAGATCTCTGTGAGTTCAAGGCCAGCCTGGTCTACATAGTGAGTTCCAGGTTAACTGGGGCTACTGGGAGACCCTGTCTCAAAAAAGACCAAAAAATTAAATGAATAAATGAAATAAATAAATAAAACGTAATGAAAAGTTTAAAAATTTTTAAAGGAACAACTATTTTATTTCACTTTTTCAAAATTTTCCTAAGATTTTATTGTTTCTTAAAAATATTTTATTTATTTTTATGTGTATGAGTGTATTGCCTGCATGTATGTGAGTGCACCCGTGTCGTGCAATGCCGCAGAAGTCAGAAGAGGGCTTCAGATTCCCCTGGAACTGGAGTAAAGGATGGTCATAGCCGCCATGTGGGTGCTGGGAATCGAACCTGCGTCCTCTGCAAGAGCAGTCAATGCTCTTACCACTGAGCCATCTCTCCAGCTCCAGATTTTATTGTTTTTAATTAGATGTATATACATGTGTCTATGTGTGAGTATATGCACATGAGTGCAGGTGCCCGCAGAGCCCAGAGGCATTGGATCCCCCAAGAGTGTCAGTTATTGGCAGTTGTGAGGCACCCACCATGATTGCTTGGAATTGAACTTGGGTCCGCTGGAAGAGCAACAGTGCTCTTAACTGCTGAGCCACAGCTCCCACCCTACTTCACTTTTTTTTTTTTTTTTGGTCTTTTTGAGACAGGGTCTCCCTATAGCCCCAGCTGGCTTGGAACTCACTGTGTAGACTAGGCTGGCCTTGACCTCCCAGAGATCTGCCTGCCTCTGCCTCCCAAGTGCTGGAACTAAAGGCTTGTGCCACCATGCCTGACTGTCTGCATATATGTTAAGCGCACTCATGTGCAATGCCTGTCAAGACCAGAAGAGGGTGTCAGAGCCCCTGGAACTGGAAATACCCATGGTTGTTAGATGCCATGTGCGTGCTGGGAACCAAACTCTTGTCCTCTGCAACTACAGCCAATGCTCCTAACTGCTGAGCCATCTCTCCAGACCCCTCACCCCTGACAGACTCTCATGTAGCCCAGGCTGCCCTAGAACTCCCTATGTAGCTGAGGATGACCCTGAACTCCTGATCTCCTTCATCCACCTCCTGAGGGCTGAGATGATAGGTGTGTACCACCATTCCCAGATCAAAAATTTTGTTTGAAACCAAGGTGCTGAGTGTGGGAATGCCAAACTCTACACCCTCGCTGGCTGAGTACTTGCCTCTTTCTCCAGCATCCCCTGATGACATCCTGTGACTTCCTGCCTCTGGTGAGGGGGTTGCTTGGGCTTTTGGACCTGTGTGGACCCAGCTTGCTGGCTGGCACACCTCCCTCTTGGGAAAAGGAAGAGGCTTCCAGTGGGGTTTTCCTAAGGGCCTTGAGACACCTGCATGTCATTCAGGAGGCGGTCAGAAGACCACATGCAGTCCTGGTTAAAGTCTTCCTAGTTAAGCCAGCCATGGCTCCTTCCACCATGTGTGGGTGTTTTGACCCTTGGCCTCTGTACTGAAACCAGGTGACACATATCTCAGCACATTCCTGGGGCAGCAGACCAAGGGGAAGTTTTCCATAGGAGCTGCCCCCTAACCCTTGTGTGTTTTTTGTTTCTCTTTTATTGAGACAGGCTCTCATGTAGCCCAGGCTGGCCTTGAACTCTCTATGTTGCTGAGAATGACCTTGAACTAATCCTCCTGCTTCTACCTCCTAAGTCTCCACTTTATGCAGTGCTGGGGATGCCGTGGTCTTGTGCATCCAAAGAAAGCACTACAGCATCTTAGCTACAGTCATTCTTACAACTGAGCTACAAGCACTCTACCAACTGAGCTACAGGCATACCACCAAGTGAACCACATCTGTAGCCTATGGCATTTAAATTTTTACTTACTGATTTATGTGTTTGTGTTACATTCATGTGGGAGTGCAGGGCTGTGCATACCCCAGTATACATGTCGAGGTTGAAGGACAACTTCAAGTATTGCTCTCACCTTCCCTCTTGTTGAAAGGCTGGGTCTCTCTTTTCTCTACTGAACCATATACTCCAGGCTTCTGGCCAGTTCTATATCCACCTTATATCTCTCACCACAGGATGCTGGGATTTACAGTGTGTGAGCTCACAGGATTTGAACTCAGGTCTTAAAGCTTGCATAGAAATTACTATTACCCCTGAGCTGCCCCCCTGCTTCTCTCTCGCCTCACTGTCTTCTCTGAATATGCAGTCTGGAGCCTTTTAAAAAATACATATTTTCACGGCTAGAGAGATGGCTCAGCGGTTAAGAACACTGGTTGTTCTTGCAGAAGACCCGGGTTTGAATCCAGGCACCCACATGGGAGCTAACAACTGTCTGTAACTCCAGTTCCAGGGGATCCGACAGTCTCTTCTGTCCTCCAGGGGCATTGCATGACACGGGTGCACTTACCTACATGCAGGCAATACACACATACACATAATAAAATTAAAAAACAAACAAAAAACATATTTTTGTCTGGTGTAGTGGTGCAAGCCTTTATTTCCAGCACTCAGGAGGCAGAGCAGGCAGATCTGTGTGAATTCAAGGCCAGCCTGGTCTACATAGTGAGCACCAGACCAGCTGGGGCTACAGGAAGACCCTGACTCAAAAAAAATTTTTTTTAATTGTGTGTGTGTGTGTGTGTGTGTGTGTGTGTGTGTGTGTGTCCGACCAGCCACAGAGGCCAGAAGTGGGCATAGAATTCCCTGGAACTGCAGTTACAGGTGGTGACGTGGATGCTGGGAACTGAACTTGGATCCTCTGGAAAAGGAAGCAGGGCTCTTTTCTCCAGTCCCAGGTACCTGTTCAATAATTCGGTTTCTACAAATTAGTGGAATTGGGACACGTGTTGCAATCCCTCTGGTATTAACAGTGCGCTCTTTAAATTCCTGTTGTAAACAAGCTTTCTCCTCATGTTCCCGTAAATAAGCCACCGTGGTTGGCCGCTGGACTCTTAACCTGCATCTGCCCAGGCTGCCCTGAGAAAAAAGACTGCCAGTCAAAGCCAGACTACCCTCAGGCATCTGCAGCCATCTGGAATACGCTGTGAACACCCCAGGAACGTGCTTGGACTGCAGCCAGCTGCTCTGACTCCCAGAGGCAGGATCTCGACCAGGGCTGTTTGCAACAGTTTGCAATAGATCTTTGGGTTTTACACACGTTGTGAACGCTAGAGGACCCCAGTACCATTCCACCATGTGGGCTCTGGGGACGAACTCAAGTTGTCAAGCTTGGCCATAGCATGTTTACGCACTCATTCAGTCGCACTCATTCAGTCGTCTCAGACCCCTGGCTGGCCTGGAACTCAGAGACCCGCCAGCCTCCGCCCCAAGCGGTGGAGCTGGAGGTGTGGCCTGGGCTTGGGAGGGCTCTTGGGGGGGAAGGCGTGGCCTCGGTCTGTAGGGCTTGCGGGGGAGGCGCGGCCTCGGTCTGGAATGACTCGGGGGCTGTTCGTGGCCTCGGTTTAGGAGGGTTAGCAGGCGGGAGAGGCGTGGCTTTCGGTCTCGGGAACTCTCGCGGCGGGGGGGAGGGGGGGCGAGTGTGGCCTAGTGCTGGAGGACTCGAGGGGGCTAGTGGAGGGGAGGCGTGGCCTCGGTCTGGGAGGGCTCGCGGGAGGGGGAGGCGTGGCCTCAGTCTGGGAGGGTTAGCAGGTGAGAGAGGCGTGGCCTCGGTCTGGGAGGGCTCGCGGGAGGGGGAGGCGTGGCCTCTGCCTAGGAGGGTTAGCTGGCGGGGGAGACGTGGCCTGGGCCTGGGAAGGCTCGCGGGCCGGGCGGAGTTGTATTCCGGTCTGGAGAGATCCGCCTGCGGGCTGAGAGGGGCGGAGGCCGCGCACACCCAGCGGCGGGACAGGCAGGCCTGCAGGCTCAGCAGCGCTTGGGGGCGTGGTCAGTGGCGCCGTGGGTTCTGCGCAGGCTCAGGGTCGGCCGGTGGGCGGGGCCGGTAGCCTCGGGGGCGGGGCTTCGCGGAGCCCCGTGGCGACCGCGCCAGTCACCACAGTAGCGGATCCGAGGTGATTGCTGCACGGCCTGCCATGGAGCAGCCCCGGAAGGCGGTGGTGGTGACGGGTATGCGGGGCAGCGGCCGGGCAGGCCAGGGGCGGCGGGGCGGCTCCGGAGGTGGCAGGGATGCACGGGACGGGCTCGCAGATGTCACCGCTACGAGAGCCCAGCCTAAGTCCTGGCGACCTGCGGAGCTGAGCCCTCTGGGGTCCAGGGCCGGGAGTTCGGGCGTGCAGGGACTTGGGGTGCACCACACATCCTGCTTTCTTCCCTCCCGGAGCGGAGCACCCATGTTGCCGCGCCAGCCACCGAACTGCCCCCTCCGGAATGCTGTCCCCACCCGGGTCTAGGGGACAAAGGCCGGTGTCCGCGCTGGAAACACTCCGGGGACACGCAGCCTCAGCTCCCAGCCCTGCTCCCCCGCGCTAGGGCCCATGGGGTCCCCGTCCTCCTTACTCAGACGACCTGAGACTGTCCTGACCTGTTTGTGAGGAGCCTGGCTCCTACTGTCACCAACTTTCAAGGAAACCAACTGTTATTTCTGACACCGCCTTGGGCCACTTGGCGGAGTCAGCTCCTGTAGGCCTCAGTCTGGAGAGGGCACAGGGGGAGACCCAGAAAAAATCCAGCTGGTATTTGCCAGGGAGGTTGGGACTGGGCGTACAATCTCTGGTGGAGGAAGATGCCCACTGCTTAACAGGTGTGTGCGACTGTGTCCCCCATCCCTGAAGCCATTCCATCAGGCTGTGTAGATTTGTTTGGTTGGTTTCTTCACACAAGGTCTCTGTAGCCGGGCTGGCCCCAAACTCAGGGCAGCTGTTCTGCCTCTGCCTCCTGAATGCTGGAACACCAGCCATGTGCCACCACAGTGAGGTACCCTCCCGAGATGTGGCCTCCTGGGGCATGGTGACTCTCTTGTTACACTAATGGTAGGTGAACTTCTTACCCATCCCAGTTGCACTAGCCCACATTCTTTTGTTTTCATGTGTTGTATTTGTGTACCTGTATGTGAGTGTGTGATGTGTGTGTTGTATTTGTGTCTGTGTGTGATGTGTGTTGTGTGTATTTGTGTCTGTGTGTGATGTGTTGTGTGTATTTGTGTGCCTGTGTGTGTGAGATATGTGTTGTGTATTTGTGTGCCTGTGTGTGTGATGTGTGTGTTGTGTGTATTTGTGTGTTGTGTGTGTGGAGACCAGAGTCAACCCAGGGTGTTGTTGCTTAGGCTCCATCCACCTAAATTTTGAGGCAGTCTCTCATTGAGTTCCTAGGACTTGTAGGTTAGGCTAGCCAGGCCACCAGCTCTAGGACTCTGCCTAGTTCCACCTCCCTGGCCCTGAACATACAGATGCTTGCCACCATACCTGGCTTTTACATGTGTGCTGGAGATTTGAACTCAGGTCCTTATATGGCAGATACTTTACCCACTAGATATCTTTCTGGCCCCATTTATCTTTTTTTTTTTCTCCTCTCTTGGTCTTTTTGAGACAGGGTCTCCTTGTAGCCCCAGCTGTCCTGGAACTCACTAGGCTGGCCTTGAACTCACAGAGATCCACCTGCCTCTGCCTCCCGAGTGCTGGGATTAAAGGCGTGTGCCACCACGCCTGGTTCCATTTATGTTTTGAAACCGGGTCTTATGTAGCCCAGGCTGGCCTGGAACTCACACTCTTACTGCCTCAGCATCTGTGGGTTAGTGCCATAGTGCCCAGAGCCACTGGCTTACTTTTTAGGCAGTTGTACCCAGTGGCTAGAAGAGGGAGGCCAACTCTCCCAGGTCTGGTTTGAATCCCAGGTCTTCTACTTTCTTGCTCTGTGAGCTCTGGAAACCAGCTTCCTCTCTCTGTACTTCAGTCCTTGCTCCTGACAGTTAGGCCCAGGAAACCTCATCTTGAAAGAGGAAGGGCCAAGGTTGAATGCCACCTGCCTCAGGGAACAGTCTTGTTTGGAAGTGAGACCTAGGCTGGACTGACAGGAAGTGTACAGGTGTCCAGATAGCCTGGCCAGAGAGGAAGTCCCCACATCATCTGAGGGCCAGTCCTCTTTTAGTGATGACTCATAGGTGCCTATGGTGCTGGTTTCCAGAGTTGAAAGACAGCCCACTATGGAGTTAATGAAAAATAATTATAGGTTAGGTTTCAGCTAGGGGAGGGAAGTACAGAAGGGAAATGGCCCCTCCCAGGGAGCTGCCATGTGTGAGCCTCCTGTCGGGGACAAGATGCCAAGCACAATATGTGCCTGTCACTCCAGTGCTTGAGGCAGAGGCAGGAAGATGACCTAGAGTTCCAGGCCAGCCTGGACTACATAGATGACTGCTGCTGGCAGCTGCTGCAGCACCTGGCCTGGGGCATGCTGGGAAGGCTGGGTAATAAATAGTATAGAGTGTAGGGGGGCAGGGGGATAGAGGTGCAAACTGGGAGGTTTAGGGACTCTGCAGTGGGGAAAGAGTAACACATCTCTTTTCCTGTGTTTTTAGGGTTTGGCCCTTTTGGGGAACACACTGTGAATGCCAGCTGGATTGCTGTCCAGGTAACTCTAATCTGGGGGGACGAGCCAAGCCTGAAGGTTGGCTTCCTCAGGAAACAGTAGCAAAGAAAGTCTTTCCAAGTATTTAAGTCAGAGGTCCACATCTCAGATACTGACCAGTCAGTCCAGCTTAAGTGTGTTGACTGCTTTTTTTATTTTACTTTTTTCAGACAAGGTGTTATTGTATAGTCCCAGGCTAATCTTAGACTCAACCATTCTCAGTAGGATACCACACCGGGCTGAAAAATCTTTCCCACGGGCCTTAGCAGGCAGAGGCCAGCCTGATCTACTTATTGAGTTCCAGGCCAGCCAGGGCTACAGGGAGGACCTATCTCAACCCCCCACCCCCAAAAGAAAAAACCCACAAAACTCAAGAGTGGCCTGGTGTTTTCTAACAGGTGCTATAGACACATTGGGAGACAACCTGGCCTTGTAGGAACGGGGCAGGGCCTCAACTGTGGCCTCCTTGCAACTGGGGGGTGGGGTGGGCAGAGCCACAGGGGTGCCTCCTCCCAGCATCCTGGCAAGAGAGCAAACGTACTAACCTGTCCCATGTCTATGCCAGATGGGACTTCAGACAGATGAGGGGTCACTGAGAGAAAGAGGCAGTGTTTGCTGTCTTAGATAAATCAACTGGGCAGAGACCAAAGCCAAAGTGGATTAATTTTAGCCCATTAGCTGTGTGATTTAAGGGGTCCCTGTCCCCACCCCAGACTCCAGCATCTTCCTATTTCTGCCTCCACCATACCCCCTGCCAGCTTACCCCCCTTCCACACTCCAGACCTCAGCCCTCAGCCACTTCACCCCCCTCCTCCTTACCCAGTCTCACTGTGCAAGCCATGGATTGAGGACTCCAGGGTCCCCGGGAACCTGCAGATGGGACTATAGCAGGCCCAGCTTGCCCACCCGCTCCCCCAGCCCCACACAAAAAGAAGCAGTGTGTCTCTGAACTTGTGTGTCTGGCTTTGTGCAAGCTGCAGACAGGAGGGTTCATGGGGCTGGGTGGACACAAAGCCCAGCGTCTGGATTCTGAGCCCCAGACACGGCCATCTGCATGTAAATGGGCAAGAAGATCAATTAAATAATCTTTGGGAAGCCCTTGGAGCTTTGGGGCTCTGAGGGGAAACTCCACTTTGTATGCAGACCTAGACCATGCAGTTTTCAATTTATTCCTTAAAAATTTAAATATATTTATTGTGTGTGTGGAGGGGCACATGTGTGAAAGTCAGTGGACAATTTGCAGGAGTTGGTTCTCTTCTTCTACCAGTGGGTACTGGGACTTGAACTCGGGTTGTCAGGCTTGGTGGCAAGTGCCTTTACCCACTGTAAGCTCCGTTCAAACTCCATTTCCTCCTCCCTTTGCTGGGGTAAGACAAGGTCTCACTATATAGCCCTGACCTGAAACACTATGTTGTAGACCAGGTTGGCCTGGAACTCACAGAGATCCACCTGCCTCTAGAGTGCTGGGATTAAAGGTGTGTATCTCCACACCTGGCTCTTGATTTTTGTTGTTGAGAGCTGGTATCATTCTGCAGTCAGAGCTGGCCCCAAACTCAGTAGTGATCGTCCAGCCTCAGATATGCTCCTCATACCCAGCTTTCCCTTTCCTTCCCCCAGGGTGGTATCTGCACCCCAGCTCCTCCCTCAGGAGGGTTGGCTCTTCTCCCATGTCTCATTACCCCAGGCCTGAGTGGTGGCCCTGTCCTGTCCCCCCAGGTCTAGGTAGTGGCCAGAGGTCTCTTTTCTGGGAGGCTTAGGTGGGTGTGAAGTACCAGGAAGGCCCTAGCCTGACTGTCCCACAGCCTCTCTGCCTGAGTGCAACACAGAATGTGGTGACATCCTGGGATAAATGCCACCACAGTGGGTCTCACAGACCTGCTAAGGATATTACCAGCAAACAAAGAGGGGCTTTGTGGCAGGGTCAAGGGAATCGGTCACACACAGCTGGGCCCGAGGGAGGGTCTTGTCAGGTAGACAGAACTGGAACAATGCCATGTCTGGCTGTCCCAGCCCCCCTGGCCTGGGGCTTTCTAGTTTGTGCTGAGCCAGGACAAGGGGAGTGAGACTGGGGTCTACAGCAAAATTTTCTTCAAAGAGAACCGGAACTGGGTGTCCAGAGGCCAAGAGCAGAGCCAGATAAGGGGTGACCCTTCCTTGTGGCTGTCATTCCCACCACACTGTCCTTACGGAAACAGTGCCTCAGCGCCACAGACACTAAATGCTGCTGCCCACCTAGAGGTTTCCTGAGTGAAGACCTCTCCCCTAGACCCCCATCTGCCCATATATGGGGAAGCTCAGATAGAACACAGGACCCAGCACATGCTACATAAGTGCTTGGCAATCTGGCTAAAACCCCAGCCACTTTCTCTTTTGTTGTTTTTGGTCTTTTGAGACAGGGCCTCCCTGGCCTGGAACTCACTATGGAGACCAGGCTGACTTTGAACTAACAGAGATCTGCCTGCCAGTACAGGGACTAAAGGCCTGCACCACCACGCCTGGTGTTTATGTTTTTGTTTTTAGAGATGGCCTCATGTAGCCCAGATTGGCCTCAAACTCACCATGTAGCTGAGGCTGACCTTGAACTCAGCCTTTAGTGCTGGGATGACAGGCTGACAGGCATCTACCACCATGATAGGCTCTGTCCTCTTTTTTTTTTTTTAATGTTTTATTATTTTTATTTTATGTGTATGAGTGTATTACCTGCATATGGGTAAGTGCACCCATGTCTGCAATGCCCGCAGAGGACAGAAGAGGCCGTTGGATCCCCTGTAACTGAAGTTACAGACAGTTTTAGCTGCTATGTGGATGCTGGGATTCGAACCTGGATCTTCTGCAAGAACAGCCAGTGTTCTTAAACTGCTGAGCCATCTCTCCAGCCCCTGCCCTGACTCTAATCTCCTGTCATCTGTACCCATCCCTCCATCTTGCATTTGGTGAGATTTTGCCCTGGGGACCAGTATGGTCCTGAAGGAATAGCATGTGTTCTAGGGAATAGCATGAGGAGCCATGTGCTCAGATCCTGGCCTCAGGAGTCTGGGATGGCCATTTGTCCTGCTGTCAACAGACTCCTGAGGACCCTGGTGGTTTCGTTGTCTGCTGTCTGGGAGCCATTTAAAGATAAGGAATGACAGGTGTGTAATGCCTGGCTTGGGGTGAAGGTCAGTCATCCTCAGTGTGCTTTGTTTGACAAGCTCCCCCCTCACACGGTGGCCTTGTCCTGTTTTGTTAGTGCCCCCTGAAACAGAAAAGTTCTGAAATTTGATGAAGGGTATCCTGTTTATCTCTCTCTGCCTGGGCCTTCCACTCACTTCCTGCTTTTCATAAATACAGATTTCTACTGTGATTTAAATCAAATGGGGCTCACATTTAAATAAAACAGACATCATCCTGGGTTCACAGGCAAACATTGAAAATGGATTTTCAGATGGGAGACTACGGACAGATGGTTTATTTTATTTAGTTTGGTTGATTTGATTTTGGTTTCTTTGTTTTGATTTATTGGGACAGGGTCTCACATAGCCTAGGCTGGTCCAAAATTTACTATGTAGCTGAGAATGACCTAGAACTCTTGATCCTGTCTCCCCAGTGCTGGGGTGACAGGTATCTTTTTGTTTTGTGCTGGTTTCTGAGCTGGTATCACACTGTAGCCTAACTCACAGCAATCCTCCTGTCTCAGTCTCCTGAGGGACAGGACAGACATACGCCACCTGTCCCACTCAGGGTAGTTTATTTTGATTTCAGATTTTCAGATTTTGTTAAACAGCATTCAAAAGTCAGTCATACTGAGCAGGGCGTGGTGGCACACATCTTTAGTCCCAAAACTCAGGAGGCAGAGGCAGGCCGATCTCTGTGAGTTCAAGGCCAGCCTGGTCTACATAGTGAGTTCCAGGACAGCTGGGGCTACAGGGAGACCCTGTCTCAAAAAGACCTCCCCCCGCAAAAAGACCAAAAACAAAAGTCAGTCATACCGAAAAAGAAGACTATGACTGTTGCCATGGCAGCAGCTTACCCTTTGTACCACCCCATCCTGCTCTTATCCAGCAAGTGGTGCCCTCCCTGCTTCAACTTGGTCCAGGAAGGACCTATTAGTTTTGATCCTTCTTTTTTTTTTGGTCTCCATGTAGCCCCAGCTGTCCTGGAACTCACTATGGAGACCAGGCTGGCCTTGAACTCACAGAGATCTGCCTGCCTCTGCCTCCCGAGTGCTGGGATTAAAGGCATGTACCACCACACCTGGCTTAGTTTTGATCCTTTTAAGGTTTTTGTTTGAGTTTAGGGTGCCTGATTTTTGTTCGGGGGTTTTTTGGATTTTTTTTGTTTTTGAGACAGTAGCTCCCTGTAGCCCCAGCTGGCCTGGAATTCACTATGTAGACCAGGCTAGCCTCAGTCTCACAGAGAGCTGCCTCCAGAGTACTGGGACTACCACCATGCCCTGAAAACTGTTTTGTTTTCTGAGACAGGCTCTCCTGTAGCCCAAGGTGGCCTCAGACTGGCCATGTAGCTGAGGATGACCCGATTCTCCTACCTCCCACTGCTGGGCACACCTACCCCCTGTTCTCAGAAGATGGAAGGATATCTCTACATCCTTCCTGCCCTGCCCCCCATCTTCTCTCACAGGAGCTGGAGAAGCTGGGCCTTGGAGACAGCGTGGACCTGCATGTGTATGAGATCCCGGTGGAGTACCAGACGGTACAGAGGCTGATCCCTGCACTGTGGGAGAAACACAGCCCCCAGGTGAACCCTGCAAGGCCTGCATCCCCCCCCATGCATCTACAGGGGAGTACTCACCAGCCCCTCTCAAAATGCCACTGTACCCTTGAACAGAATATACTTTGATGGTTTCCTTTAAAGAGGAGGGAAGAAAACAAAGTTGGGGACCACAAAGAGCCTGGCTCCATCCCTCTGGGGGTCTGCACCAATGCAGGGGTTTTAAGTGACAGTTGATGTGAGTGGTCTTGGAACACAGGGTGGGCTCACTTGAGGCCTGGCTTCCAACCCCAGTACTATTAAAGGAAAAATTTAAAAATAAAAACATAACTTTGGGGGCTGGAGAGATGGCTCAGCTGTTACAAGCACTGACTGGTTTTGCAGAGGACCCGGGTTCGATTCCCAGTACCCACGTGGTGGCTACAAACCGTCCTTAACTCCAGTTCCAGGGGAATCTGACACCCTCTTCTGACCTCTGCAGCATTGCACGACATGGGTGCACTCACATACATGCAGGCAATACGCTCATACACATAAAGTAAAATATAAATAAAATATTTAAAAAATAAATAAAAACATGCCAGGCGTAGTGGTGCATGCCTTTAATCCCAGCACTCGGGAGGCAGAGGCAGGCAGACCTCTGTGAGTTCAAGGCCAGCTGGGGCTACTGGGAGACCCTGTCTCAAAAAAAGACCAAAAATTAAAAAAAAACATGACTTTTAAAACGTATTTCAAGTCAGGTGTGGCCTTGTTACCTCAGCACTTGGGAGGTGGAGACAGGATGATCAGGAGTTCAAAGCCAGCCAGGGCTACATGAACCCCGTCTCAAAAACAAAACAGCTTCTTGGACTTTTTAACAGAGATATAATAATTCATTCCATTTTTTTTTTCTTTGAGACAGGGTCTCACTATGCAGCCCTGACTGGCCTGGGACTTCCTATGTAGACCAGGCTGACCTTGAACTCACAGATCCACCTGCCTCTGCCTCCCAAGTGCTAGAATGAAAGGTGTGCCCACCACACTCTGCCTAGATCATTCTTTATCTGACCAGCTGTTTTTAGTATTTGGAGTGGCTCATGGAGCATGAATAAGCCTGTGTACAGTGTTTGAATCTTCCCTTTCTGCAAGAGTGACTGCAGGGAGTGTTCCAGGAGAGAGAGGTCAGAATCAATGACATGGTGAGGCTGTCATTGTTTGCAGCTTGTGTCAATCCAGGTCTCTCTATCCCCAGCTGGTGGTGCACGTTGGTGTGTCAGGCATGGCCACCACAGTGACACTGGAGAAATGTGGACACAACAAAGGTTACAAGGGACTGGACAACTGCCGTTTCTGCCCAGGCTCACAGTGCTGTGTGGAGGATGGGCCTGAGAGCATCGACTCCATCATAGACATGGACGCCGTGTGCAAGCGTGTGACCACGTTGGGGCTGGACGTATCTGTTACCATCTCCCAGGATGCTGGCAGGTGGGGAGCTGGCAGGTGGGGAGCTGGCAGGTGGGGAGTGGGGCACTCCAGGGAGGACACAGGCAGGGCTTTCCCTCCAGCCATGAATCCTGGGATTGGATGGCAAGCAGGTATGAACCTCAGCTCTCACTAAACCCAGAATACTGGGCTACACTGGCCAGAGAGTACTGGTACTAGACTGACAGGTGTGCACTGCTACACCAGCTGTTTACATGGCTGCCAGGGTTCAGAATTGCATAGTAAACACATTACTGACTGAGCCATCTCAGCTCCCAATTTTTCCTTTTTTTCTTTTTGAGACAGGAACAGGCTGGCCTCAAACTCAGAGATCTGCCTGCCTCTGACTAATGAATGCTGGGATTAAAGGCATACATCACCATGTCTGGTTTTATGTGATGCTCGGGATGGAACCCACGGCTTCATGAAACATGCTAGGCAAAAGCTCTGCCAACAGAGGCCAACCCCAGCTTTTTTTTTTTTTTTTTTGGTCTTTTTGAGACAGGGTCTCCCTGTAGCCCCAGCTGGCCTGGAACTCACTATGTAGACCAGGCTGACCTTGAACTCACAGAGATTCACTTGCCTCTGCCTCCCAAGTGCTAGCATTAAAGGCATGTACCGCCATGCCTGGTTCCAGCTCTACTTTAAAAAAATAATTGGGGGAAACCAGGGAGATGGCTTAGTGGTTAAGAGCACTGGCTGTTCTTGCAGAGGACTCGGGTTTGATTCTCAGCACCCACATGGCAGCTAAACAACTGTCTATAACTCCAGTTCCAGGGGATCTGATGCCATCTTCTGACCTCTTCAGGCATCGCATGACATGGGTGCATCCACCTACATGAAGCAATATACTCATACACATTAAAAATAAAAATAAGGAGGCTAGAGAGATGGCTCAGCGGTTAAGAACACTGGCTGTTCTTGCAGAAGACCTGAGTTCAAATCCCAGCACCCACATGGTAGCTAACAACTGTCCATAACTCCAGTTCCAGGGGATCCGATGGCCTCTTCTGTCCTCCTCAGGCATTGCAAGAGACAGGTGCACTTACCTACATGCAGGCAATACACGCATACACATAAACTTTAAAAAAAATCTTTGTTAAATAAAAATAAGGCTGGGTGTGGTGGTGCATGCCTCCAGTTCCAGGGAATCTGACACCCTCTTCTGGCTTACATGGGCATTGCATGCATGTGTGCACTTACATACATGCAGGCAAAACACTCATACAGGTAAAATAAAAATAATAAATTAAAATTTTGAATAAAATAATGAAACAAAAGAATAGAGAGAAGGCCACCAAATTTCTAACCCTTTTTGGCATGTCCCCTATAATTTCACCTCCTCCATCTAGGCTCCAGCCCCCAGAGGCTCTACCACTTCCGAACATTGCCCTGCTGGAGAACCAGCCTTTAGCACAGCCCCCTACCAACAACTCAGGCTTGACTGCAGCAGGTGCCCTTGGTCTGGGCGCTAACCCAGTCTCTTCCTCTTTCCCATTTTCAGGTACCTGTGTGACTTCACCTACTATACCTCACTCTACCAGAGCCATGGTCGCTCAGCCTTCGTCCATGTGCCACCACTGGGCAAGCCCTACAATGCTGACCAGCTGGGCCGGGCACTGCGGGCCATCATTGAGGAGATGCTAGGTGTCCTGGAGCAGGCGGAGGGCAAGATCAGCTGCTGCCACCACCACTGATGGCTACCACACTGGGGACTCTGTCCCGCCTGGGAGCCCGGCAGCAGATGCCGCCCTCAGGGACCCAGGCAAGGAGGACTGGCTCATCACCATGGGTCCAATGGAAGGTCCTGATTCATACTTGTTCCCCCTGCCAGTGGATCGCAGGGTGGTGGACAGAGAGCTTTGTCCCAGTGTCCCCATGTGTGGAGACACAACTGCTGTGCCAGGAGGCCAAGGCAGGGCGATAGCCATGGCACTGCCACGACCACTGGGCCACGTCCACTGTCTGCTTTTGCAGGTCTATGAAGAAAGCAATTCCAGAGCTTTCTCTGACTAGGTTTCTTCAAAGTTCAGTGTCATGAAGGAGTTTGGCCCTAATCTATGTCCCCAAACTCTGGGCAGCCCCAAGCAAAACCAGCCTGGGCTGTGGCTGACTCTCCCCTCCTCTTCCTCCTCTTCCTTCCTCCCTTCCTTCCTTCCTCTTTTTGATGTGTTTTGAGACATGGTCTGGCTGTGTAGCCCAGGTGGCCTTTGAAGTGCCCATCCTCCTGCTTCAGCCTCCCCAGTGCTATGATGACAGGTGTGGGCCACCGTTTAGGCTTCCCTTCGCTCTGTCCCTCCCTCCATCCCTCCCTCTTTCCCTTCTTCCCCTTCTCCCTCCCTCACCCTCCTTGGTGATTTAGGGTGCAGACTAATTTCTCTCCCCGTTGTTGACTTCAGGTTTAACCAACAAGTGTCTTTCTTTGCTGCAGGTGTGAGGCCTCTTTCGCCTTCTGCCCCCCACACTGGCCATCTTTCTTCTGCTCCCCAGAGTGATTCTTTGCTCAGAATTGCAGGCTGCCTGGGGCCGGGCCTTCAGCACCTGAGCTGTGGGCTGGGCCTGGTCTCTGCCCTTAGACTTTCTCTTCTTATTTACTTTTTGGTTTTTTTGGGGGGTGGGGGGCTGTTGTTGCTCTTGAACTTACTGTGTAGCCCAGGCTAGCCTTGAATTCCTGATCCTCCTGCTGGGATGACAGGTATGCACCATAGCCAGCCCGCCTGGGACATAAAAGCAAAAAGAAGCTCTCCATGTCACAGCTGCCTAGTGTCCTTACAGTTCCCTTGAGGACCCAGAGACCAGAGCCTGCAGCACCCTGGCATGTCCTGGCATGTTGAAGCAGGTGTGGTGGTGTCAGCTGTGGGGACACTTACTGAAAGGTGTCTGGAGGTGTGCCTAGAACTCCAGCCAAACTTTATTGCCCTGCCAATTTTCAAAGAAGGATGAGGAGTGTCGCCCTCAGGATGCAGGGCGTGAGGTGATATGACCTGGGTTTCCATGCAAGACAGTGTAGTCCCTGTCACTAGAAGCCACACAAAATTTGGAGGCCACCTCTGGTGTAGGGACAGATGTGACTGTGCAACTGGATCCTGGGGTAGCTCCCCAAACTAGCTCCTCTTTTGAGTTGCTTTGTTTTTTCATTTTCTTTATTTTTTTTATTTTTAGTTTTTGGTCTTTTTGAGACGGGGTCTCCCTGTAGCCCCAGCTGGCCTGGAACTCACTATGTAGACCAGGCTGGCCTTGAACTCACAGAGATCTGCCTGCCTCTGCCTCCTAAGTGCTGGGATTAAAGGTGAGCGCCACCACACCTGGCTTTTTCATTTTCTTGAGTCAGGGTCTCAGTATCCCAGGCTGGCCTCTGACCTTGCTGTGTAGCTGAGGATGACCTTGAATTCCTGACCCTCTAGTCTCAGCCTCTCCAGTGCTGGGATATGTACCACATGCCCAGCTATTTTTTAATCTCAGATCTTCGGATCTTTGTTCTCTCGTCCTCACACATGCTGGCCCCTCTTCTTCCTGCTCTGCAGAGCTGCTGGGGTACTGCAGGTGAGTCCTTTCGGAGGGTTTCTCTGTGGCTCAGGTTTTCTTCAGAGAGGACAGGGGGTACCCAGGGTGACTCCAGACCCTGACTCCACAGCCATGGGTGTGGCAGGTGACCAGCAGGTTTAAATTTCACGGACTCTGTTCCCCTCCCTGGGGTGACAGCCCCCTTTGTGTTCCCAGAGTGTTCCAGCTCTGAGAAACCCCCCCAAACCCACAGTGAGAGGTACTGAATCTTCTCAGCTAACTGTGAGCAGAAAACATGGCTTTTGAATGTGGGGGACAAGGGAGGCAGGGATTCTCCAAAGCACTTTGGTTTTTTTGAGCCTAGATCTCAAGTAGCCCAGGCTGGCCTTGAACATCTGATCCTCCTGACACAGCCTCCTTCAGTGCTTACATGACAGGAGTTGTCACCACATCTGGTTTTTGTCCACACATGTCTTTGTGTTTTGCAGCAAGGTCTCACTATGTAGACCTGGCTGGCCTGGACGTTACTCTGTAGGTCAGGCTGGCCCTCAACTTGTGATGATTCCCCTACCTCAGCCTCCTGAGTGCTGGGATAACAGGTGGACTCCAGGGTGCACACGGCTCACAGTTCCTCGGAGGTCAGGAAGGCAGGTGGATGGGGCCTGTCCTGCTGGGTCCAGCCTCCACCGTCCGCTCCTCTGCTGGGAGGTTAGGATGACTGCTGGGCAGGATCAGCACACGGGTGCCTGGCCCACTTTCATTTGATCTGCCGTCCATTAAACATTTCCCAGGCCTTGGCTTGCTTTTTCTCTTCCTTTGTCCCCTGGGTCAGGGTCACTGGCCAGTCTCCAGTTAGCCTGTCTCAGCCTGAAATAGCCATGTGACATGAACCAGGTCATGGCGAACCTCGGGATCGGCCAGCAGAGTGGGCGGGGCTGTTGTGTGGGCCGGGCCTAGGGAGGGTGGCCGGGAGGTGGGACGCAGGGTTGGAGTGGTTGGGTCTGGTGGCGGACTTAGGGTGGGTGGGGTTTTTGGTGTGGGGAGAAGTGTGCGGGGCCTGTGGTGTGGGCGGGACGTAAGATGGGTGGGGCGGAGAAACCAGCCTGGCTGCCCAGGCAGCCACAGGGGACTTGGTTCTTTTTGTGTGCTTGTTTTTTTTGTTTGTTTGTTTTTTTGGTCTTTTTGAGACAAGGTCTCCCTGTAGCTGCAGCTGGCCTGGATTCGCTAAGGGAGACCAGGCTGGCCTCGAACTCACAGAGATCCGCCCGCCTCTGCTTTTTTGTGTGCTTTTTGAAATGGGGTCTCCTATAGCCCAGGCTAATTTCAAACTCATGACTGTAGTAAGGATGACCTCGACCTCCTGACCCGCCTGCCTCCACTTCGAGGTGGCCACCAAGTCTAGTCGGGAGGCAGATCTTTGAAAATAAGATTGTGCCTTTAATCCCAGCACTTGGGAGGCAGAGGCAGGTGGATCTTTGTGAGTTCAAGGCCAGCCTGGTCTACATAGTGAGTTCCAGGACAGCTGGGGCTACAGGGAGACCCTGTCTCAAAAAAAAAAAAAAAAAAAAAGAAGAAGATTGTGCTTCTTCCTCGGGAAATATCAAATGGTGGGTGACACAGGGAGATTGAGGCAGCTTCCATGGAAGGTTTGGTAGTAGTCTCCGGGCTGTGGGGCCTCAAAGAGGCAAAGCAAGACAAGGAGTGGATCCCAGTCACCAAGCTGGTTTGCCTGGTCAAGGACATGAAGGTCAAGTCACTGGAGGCGATCTACCTGCTCTCCCTGCCCATTAGGGAATCTGAGATTACTGACTTTTTCCTGGAACATTACTTAAGGATGAGGTTTTTAGATCATGCCAGTGCAGAAGCAGACCTGGGCTGGCCAGCGGACCAAGTTCAGGCTTTTGGGGAATACAACTGTCATGTTGCTGTTAAGTGCTCCAAGGAGGTGGCCACTGCCATTCGAGGGGCCACGTCTTGCCAAGCTTTCCACTGTCCCTGTGTGAGAGCTACTGGGGAAACAAGATTGGTAAGGCCACACCATCCTGTGCAAGGTGACGGGTCACAGTGGGTCTGTACTGATACGCCTCAGCCCTGCCCTCAGAGGCACTGGCACCATCTCTGCTCTAGTGCCTAAGAAGCTGCTGCGGCTGGTTGGTATTGAGGGCTGCTACACATCAGCCTGGGCTGCACTGCCACCCTGAGCAACTTTGCCAAGGCCACCTTTGATACCATCTCAGACCTACAGCTATCTGACCCCTGACCTCTGGAAACAGCCAATCTTCACCAAGCCTCCCTATCAGGAATTCACCAACCATCTTGTGAAAACCCACACCAGAGTCTGTGCAGAGAACCCAGGCTCCAACTGTGGCCATTACCTAAGGCTTTTTTTTTTTTTTTTTTTCTTTTTGAAGCAGGGTCTCCCTGTAGCCTCAGCTGTCCTGGCATGTAGACCAGGCTGGCCTTGAACTCACAGAGATCCGCCTGCCTCTGCCTCCCAAGTGCTGGGACTACAGGCGTGCGCCACCATGCCTGGCTTACCTAAAGCTTTTATATGAGAAAGAAATAAAGTGAATTAAGTCTGTTAAAAACAAAAATAAAAAATAAAAATAAAATACATTTAAAATAAGAGAAAATCACATTGTGATGGGTTCAGCTTGGGAGGAAATCTGTTTTGTGGATGACCAGCATGGACGGCTCTGAAAAAGCGTCCACCACAGAGGCAAGGGAAGGCAGGAGAAGCTGACAGGTGCTTTTCTGTGAGGCCTGACTGGAAGCCAGGCAGCTGCCGTGTATAAAGCCCTCCCGTGACCTGACTGTGTGCAGAACACTCCCACCCTGCTCCTCCCCTCCCATAGTCTAGGCTGCTCACCTTTGACCTGCCCACCCCCTTGGAGTGTCTGGGACCAGAAGTCCCATTGGGACAGGGGAGACAAAGCCACATTCTTCCCTGCAGTTTGCCTGGAGACCTGGGCCTGCACAGGGTGCTGACATCCCCAAACAGACCCATTTTGCCTGTGCAACCCCCAGTCCCCAGGAACCCACAGGCTTGGGGGACAAAGGCTTTGTTTTCGTGCCAGACAAAACGTCCCTACTCTAGGCACATTGCCCTGGCAGCTGGCAAGGAGGGGACACACCTGTTTTCTTTCACTTTTTGTAGTCCTGGGGAAAAAACCCAGGGCCTACTGTGCTGGACCAGGCCTCAGCCACAGGGCCCCACAATTCTCAGGTCCGAGTGTAGGGTCCCCCATCCATGGTACAGTGGCCACCTAAAAGATCTGAAAAACCAAGTTTTGAATGGATGATAAACACATTTGTCCCTGGAGCACTGGCCACAAAATTGGTGGGGAAACTTCCAGGCTTCGAGGGATCCTGTCTAGCAGATGAGGTGCTGCGTACATATTATCCCAGCAGAAGGATCAGGAGAAGGGAGTTTGAGGCCAGATTGAGCCTCATGCGATCCTGTCTCAAACAACAAAAATAAAGAGCCAGCACTTGGGAGGCAGAGGCAGGCGGATCTCTGTGAGTTGAACGCCAGCCTGATCTACACAGTGAGTTCCAGGCCAGCTGGAACTACAGGGAGACCCTGTCTCAAAAAGACAAAAATAAAAGGAAGGAAGGGAGGGAGGGAGGGAGGGAGGGAAAGAAGGAAAAAATAGGGGCTGGTGAGATGGCTCAGTGGGTAGAGGTGCTTGCCACCAAACCACATGTTGTCTTCTGGAGACACACACACACACACACCCACACACACACACATACCACACTAAAATATGTCAAAATAAACCAAAAACACATGGCTGGGCATGGTGGCACACACCATTAATCTCAGCACTCTTTTAATCTCAGCACTCTGGAGGCACAAGCAGGCGGATCTCTGTGAGATCAAGCCCAGCCTGGTCTACATAGTGAGTTCCAGGTCAGTTCGGGCTTCAGAGAGATCCTGTCTCCAAAAAGAAAAAGAAAGAAAGAAGAAAGGAAGAGAGAGAGAGAGAGAGAGAGAGAGAGAGAGAGAGAGAGAGGAGAGGGAGGAAGGAAGGGAGAGAGATAGAGATAGAGATAAAGAAAGAAACAGAAAGAGACTACATAGCTTCCCCAGCCTTCCTTCCCCAGCAGCACCTGGACCTACACAGGGGCACATCCAACATCTAGGACCACACAGAGGGGGCACATGGCTCTGCACTGGGACATGGCTCCTGGTGGCCTGGGTCTCTGCAGGAGTGGTATGTGAAGCCCAGGGTCTTTCACCTCCTGACCTTAAGAGCTGGCTTGGGGAGAGTTTCTGTTTATTTTCTTTTTTTTTTTTTTGAGGTGGTTTCACTGTGTACCCCAATGTGACCATCTTGCATCAACCTGTGCAGGGCTGAGATGAAAAGCTTATGCCACCATGCCCAGCTTTCAATTTTTTTTCTTTTTTTAAATTTCTATTTATGTGTATGAGTATTATGCCTGTATGTATGAAAATACACAGTGTATTGGGGATGGAGAGATGGCTCAGCAGTTAAGAACTGGCTGTTCTTGCAGAAGACCTGGGTTCAAATCCCAGCACCCACATGGCAGCTAACAACTGTCCATAATGCCAGTTCCAGGGGATCCAACAGCCTCTACTGTCCTCCTCCAGCATTGCATGACATGGGTGCACTTACCTACATGCAGGCAATACATGCATACACATAAAATAATAATAATAAAAAAAGAAAGAAAAGAAAATGCACAGTGTCATGCAGTGCCCATGGAGAACAGA